AACAAACACAATATCAGAAGTAGACGCGCCAAATTCGATACGATACGGAGAGTTTTTTACGGAACAACTACTACAGCTACCTTTCACAAGATGAAGGTAATGCAACCGAACAGCTTCTGAAGAATCGGAAAATGAAAATAATTTTGAAAGTGGCACCACTGAAGTATCATCAGAGAAAGAAGAAAATGATGGTGTTACTGAGAAGACTTCAGGCGAATCAGATTTTGAAAATATTACAAATGAAACACCATTAGAGGTACAAATCGAAAATAGTTCAACTGAAGAACCATTTATACCAGAAGGTGAAAGTAGCGTTACGGAAAAACAATCGGACGAAGAAAATGAAAGTTTTACTACTGTAAATCCATCGGTGATAGGCGTTACTGAAGCATCAACAGAAGAAACCCAAGGTGAAAACATTGGAACTGAAAAATTTTCTGATGAGGAAGGAAACATTGCTACTGAAGCACCGGCCGAAGAAGAAAATTTTACGACGGAATCGTTATCAGTATTTAACAATGAAAATACTAATACAGAAAAAACTTCTGAAACTGAAGAAAATGAAGGAAACGCGACCGAACGTCCTTCAGAAACGGTGGGAAATGAAGATGTTGGAGCGGAAACACCCAATGAAGAAGAAGCTGTAACAACGGAAGGATTTTCAGTGGTTAATGATGAGAATATTACTACCGAAAAACCTTCAGAAACTGAAGAAAGCGAAGAAAATTCTACTGAAAGACCTTTAGAAACAGTGGGAAATGAAGAAAACATCACTGAAAAATCTTCGGATACGGAGGAAAATGAAAATAACGGAACCGAAATACCGAATGAAGAAGGAACTGCAACAACGGAAGAACTTCCTACTGGGTTTAATGACGAAAATGTTACTACCGAAAAACCTTCAGAAACGGAGGAAACAGAAGGAAACGCGACTGAAATACCCACTGAAGAAGAAAACACTGCAACGGAAGCGTCTTCAGTATCGGACGATACCACAACTGAAACACCTTCAGGCACAGAAGAAACCGAAGGAAACGCGACTGAAATACCCACCGAAGAAGAAAACGCTGCAACGGAAGCACCTTCAGTATCGGACGATGAAAATATCACAACTGAAGCACCTTCAGACACGGAAGAAAATGAAGAAACACCAACAACTGAAATTTCAAATGACGAAGTTGATGTCGATACATCCACCGAAACATCCACCGAAACCGAAACTGAAAATCCAACATCTGACGACGAAGAAATAGAATTAACGATTCCGGTTAAAAATTTAACGGTTTCATCACAAATCCCGGATACGAATGCCGTTCCTGTTACCTCATGTTCTAGAAATAAAGATTGTCGTAACAGTGAAAAATGCGAAAACGGAAAATGCGTTAATCCTTGTTCTGAATTTTTGTGTCCCGGAAAATCAGTGTGCCAAGCCAAATTTCACGTGGCTTTATGCACATGTCCAAAGGGAGTTGATTGTAGTCAAGGTATTATATTGTCCTTTTTTTTTTTTTTATAAACAAAATACCCGGGTTATTATTGAAAATATCGCGTTTTCAATTCTTTTTCTTCTTTAACTTTT